ATTTATTTACACACTGGGTAACTATTACTATGTCTAAATAATAAGATGTATAAATGTACTTTAAATAGTTTATTAATCATTTACTTATACACTTTCTAAATGATCTTTAATCATTTACTTACACTTTTTAAATGATCTAAATGATCACTGACAACTCCTAAATAACTGGTTTGTAAATAATGTAATAATTTAGAAATGATACATTGATCACTAATAAAGTATGAAAATATAATTATTAAACACATTATAGATATGCATATAAATCAAGAATAAAGCATTTATAGCTGTATTTGTTAACTACTTACTAATGTCTATTAATGTTGGCACAATGCTTTATAAATGATGAATTAATGCTTAACTAATGACTCATAGCATGCAGTTATTATATAGTGTTACCAACATTTTTAACAAAAAGCTGAGAATTTTCTTTATATTTTTTTTCAAAGACTATAACATGCATAAGCAAATCTCCTATCGCTTGTTTTCAGAAGATGCGTAATTGCGGAAAATTCGGTCAGTGAAAGAGTTAATAAAATAAGAGTTAAAATGCTCGGTTGTTTTAACCCAATTTTGGGTCAAATATGGTCAAACCCAAATGTTGGTTTAAAAAATGTAATTAAAAAATTTAACCCAACGGCTGAGTTTGTCCATATTTGACCCAAAGTGAAACAACCCAGCATTTTTTAGAGTGTAATGTTCTCAAAACGTCAGCACAAAAACATAGATCGTTTGTGAAATGTTTTTCCTGACACGTTTTCTAGTGTTTTTTAAATGTTGCTACTTGTTTCAGAACATTTAGAGAACATTCAAAAGTAATGTTCCCATTATGTTTGAATAATGATAAAATGGAATGAACATATTGTTCACAGATGAGTTGTTAGCTTTAATTTGAGCTGTTTTGGCTCTAAATCCAGTCACTCAGGTACTAAGCCAGAAGCAATAGGAAGTCATATTTTATATTTGTATATGTATGTATTTATATGAGACAGCATGAAAGAGAGAAAGAGCCATACAGCTTATGTGCTGATAATTTCTCTAAATGCTCTTAGCAGACAGCATAATAACCCAACAGTGAGTTATAGAGTACTGTGATGATTTTTTGATGTTTTTTTTTTTTTTTACATACGAGCATTGTGTTTTAGAAAGTGGCCATAGTTTGTATTCACTGGAAGAACAAAAAAATCAATTTTTCACCTTTTGTCACACTACTCATTCTGTCATTTCACAATGAGAGTCTAGGCGTGTACACGGTTGGTTGGCGCTGCACGATTTGCTTAGATCAATGCTGATTCTTACCGTATTGAAAAGTACACATTTTAGCTGCAGTGCTGTAATAGCGGAGAACAATCAGGGCCTATTCAGGGCTGAAGGACACCCTCCCTCAGTCAACATTTGGCTCTCAAATCCATAGCCGGCACTGGCTCTCTGGCCCCCGGAATGCATCAGTTACTTTCAATGCTCAGATATTCATTTACAGAGTTGTTGTGTGGCCACTTTAAGCTGTTCACTGTGAAAGTGTACTGAGATAAGTTTTCCAGCAGTGAAAAAGAAGATGCTAAATGTTAGCATATCTGTCATACTGTCTGACACGGCGATTGAACAATGAAGCAAAATGGCATCGAAACACAGCGTGAGTGGATAAGTGTGTTGCCCCATAGCACACGTGTTCAGGAGTGTGTGCGAGAGCTGCAGCTGTAATTTGACCTCAGGAAGGTGAGCAATTGCAGGCAGAGCGCTACACACTGAAACTCACCGCAATCCATCAACCAATTGCCCATGCAAATCTGATACGAACCAGGCAAAGACAGGTCTGTTGATTACACAAGCGCACATGCCGCTCTCAAGGTGCTCAGGTGAGATTCTTTAATAGTTAGTGTACTTAATTCTGCATAAGTACACATCCAGTCTCCCAGTGATTCTTTCTCCAAATGTTGTCACGGCACTGGCAGTCTTAGAAGAAAAAGGTTCTATGTAAAACTGTAAAGGATTTGTAAGATGCAGGAATGAATGAATGAATGAATATCTATCTATCTATCTATCTATCTATCTATCTATCTATCTATCTATCTATCTATCTATCTATCTATCTATCTATCTATCTATCTATCTATCTATCTATCTATCTATCTATCTATCTATCTATCTATCTATCCATTAACCTCTCAAACAATGATCATAAATTACAATAATTTTTGAAGTTGTATGAATATCTTTTCATTTTGATTCATTTCAATTCTACTTTTATAAAATTTTAAGGGGACCTATTACGCCCCCTTTTTACAAGCTGTAATATAATACTCAGGTGTCCCCAGAAAGTGTCTGTGAAGTTTCAGCTCAAAATACCCCACAGATCATTTAATTATACCATGTTGTAAATGACCATTTTTGAGTGGATGAAAAAGCATGCTGTTTTTCATGCATGTATCTTTAAATGCAAATGAGTTGCTTCTCCCCACCCAGCTTTCCAGAAGAGGGCGGAGCCTGTACAGCTCGTGCCTCAGATACTCTGCCAAAAACTAAAACATCTGTTTGGTTTTGATTATCATCACGGTTACGCTCACGTGACACTGCAGTTCTTCATCATCATGAAAGTTTATTATCTGCATGTGTTGTAAAGCCATATCTGTCTAAACATCTGATACATGGTTTTCCAACGCTATCTCACGACCAATTCGTACGAATTCGTGCGAGTGTGATTAAAAGGTGGCTAATTCGTACAAATTCGTATGACCTCACTCGTACGAATTTGTACAATTTGTCTAAACCCACATGATGTGTAGGTTTAGGGGCGGGGTCAGGGGTAGGTCATTCGTACGAATTCATACGAATTGTGAAACTTGTAAAATATGTACGATTTAGCAAAAATCATACGAATTCGTACGAGTGAGGTCGTATGAATTCGTATGAATTAGCCACCTCGTAAAATTCGTACGAATTGCCGTTAGATCGGGTTGGGTTTTTCTGAGCGCACACATCCGAAGCTCGCGCACAGAAAGCTGGATGTCAGATGGCACGTCCCGTGAGAATTGAACTAAGTTCTCTTTCACGTCTTATTGTGGTTAAACTGTCAAATACACACAAGGTTATGTCAAAAATAAACAAAGTGCACATGAACACAGTCGGTTATGTCTGTGAACATAAACAGCAAGTAAAGAAATCGCTTGTGTATTTTAGGTCTGTGTATTAAAGTGAAAACAGCGTAATATACAGTACTGCTGTTTATATGAATCAAACAACAAAAGAAAAACAGAAAATAACTCACTGCTCTTGATTGAATAACTATAGCTTTACATTTCTTACTCAAATGCTGCTGTTAAATGCTCTGTCGAGGAGATAAACATGGCTGACTGTGTACAGCTCACTGAGGGCGGGGTCTGTCCGAATAGGGCAGAGTCGTCAGCAGTCGTGGGCGGGGCCTAAGCATATGTGATGTCACTCTGCTAGAATCTGAAAACGGTTTGTTCTGAGACACTGCTTATGATTTATGGGGATTAAAAAAGGAGGTGTGGGTGTATTTTTACCATTCTAGGGTGGTTGTTTACACGCATTGCCGACACACATTTATGTTCAAACACCATGTAAATGTGAATTTTGCATATTGCATATATTAAATTAGAACTGCATCCAGTTTATTTTACCCCAATTCGATTTCCATTCAAATTCAGGAACCAGAGAAATACAAATCACTCACACTAAGTAGCCTACTCTGTATACCTTCTTCTCCAAATATAAGTTCACGTCGTGCAAAGATCTCCAGAATGCTCTGGAAAGTTTGAAGTGATGTAAGATTGATGGATGCGGAATACTTTATGTTCTGAACTGGGAGGTGTTGACTCCTAACAACCATCATTTTGCTGCAAATTATTATAATTAAAGTCTATCACAGCCTGTACTGTCACCAAGGTCGTTCCTTTCCTCACTTTGTATGCCCATAACATCCAGGAACAAAGAACATTCAAATAAAACAAAGAGTCTTTCATTTTTAAGAAGCGGGGGTTTGTTGTAGCACTCGTGTGTTCTCTTAACAAGATTTTAAATAAAATTAAGCATTATTATGCCTTTTGCATGTATATTATATAATATGCACATTACACAAAGCATTGTGGGTTTTGGCATTCTGCACTAAGCTCAGTGAATCTTTCCATGATATAACATTTGTAAGGTAGCAACCCAATTTAAACCCATGAACAGGTGTTTTCACCTTGTCTGACCTTTCTCACAGCGGCAGTTCCCTCCGAATTGGCCCTAAACAGTAACACCTGCAGTGGCCACATCTGTTTTTGACTGACCCCGTCTGTCCTCGGGCTCTTTGATAAAAGAGGAGGAATGCAGATGATCCAGTTTCCGCCCCATCACTTTTTCTCATCCTCCGTCCACGTTGCTGTGTTAAGTCTAGGAAATTCATGGAGCAATGGAATGGCTGCTCTAAACCTTTACATCAAGATAAATTATTAAAACTGGTTGGTTTGGTGCTTCCTGTGAGGTATCTGGTGGAAACAGATTCATGTTCAGATATGTTTGAGTCCGAGATAGGCTTCAGACAAAACAATAACAGCTTAACAGGTGAAGTGGGATTTACAGAGTTTCACTGGTAATAAATGGGCATGTTACAATATGCACTAATACCTTATGTAATGTCTGTGTGGGTTCCACACAACACAAGAGCTATGGAATTATGTTGTTATAATGATTGAGAGAGCCAGACATTGTAGACTGAGACTGTGGCATATAAAAGCACAATAGTTTGGTTCATAAACTAAACAGGGTTAAACCTCAAATACAAATCGTTTATATAGATAGATGTAATGAGGGGGAAACAACTGTTTACAGTATGATAGCATCGGTGTCATTTTCTTGATGGATAAAGCCTCCATGTTATACACCTCTCAGGTGAGCCACGCCCTCCTGCACTGTGATTGGAGAATCCGCTCTTTCCTTCGCTCTGAATGGCTGAGGCACCTGTCACTCATGCACTTCGTGTTCTCAGTGTGATACTTTACAACAGGTAAGGCTACCTGAGGGACACAGGGAGGGCTTTTGGATACACCGCGCGTCTGGATGTACCGACAAGGACGTTTATAATAACCCCACATATGTGTTTTCGTAATTGAGAATAAGTTTTTAATATAATATTCGTCATATGCATATAGAAATGGCAAGTGTAGGACTGGTCGTTAGCGCTCCGAATACAGAAGAGAGAGCAGTTTTCACGCAGCTTAAACCCGTGCGGATGTGTGGCGCGGATGGGCCGGAGGACTCGTCCGTGTTTGAGGACGTCAAACCCGCGGTTAGAATCGCAACAAACGCTGTTGAAATGGCTCAGGTATGACCGGCGCTCTGTGGTGTCAAGACTTTCGATATTTCAATATCTAAACATCCCAATAAAGATAGAGCAGATGCAGTGTAAGAGAAAGCACCTGGTCAGTAATAGAAAATAATCTTTATGAAAGGCTTCCTGCAATGCAAGTATTTGGTTCATATATATAATGAAACATTGTTGATAAAATATTGAATGTATTACAGGCATCTTTTTGAGGCTGTGGAACCTGTGTTCTCGTTGCAGTGTGCATCCTCACATAAGAGGCCACTAAATTACTGTTTATTTGTCTCGCATTGCTTTTACATTTATTCATTTAGCAGGATTTGTATGAAAAGTTGCTTACAAACAATACAATTATTATTATTATTAATATTAACACAGATAACAATTAATCTCATATTTTTAATCGTATATCTTTTTTTTACTACAGTGCAGTTGTAGATGCACTTAAGGTTTTACTTTAAATAGTTTATTTTACCTAAAAACACATTTCTCTTTAAATTTGCATCTAGGTTTTGCAATAAACATTGACGTCATATTATTCTCATAAATGGTGTAGCTTATACTTGACTGTGACTTGGCTTGAATATAATATACTTGGTCATGAATATATTATTCCAGATAAATTGGAGCTCAACCTGCTTTACAAGGGCACTATGACATTAATACTTAACTTGCTAGTAAATGCACAAGTTTGGCCCTCAACATAACCTTCTTTATAAGAGTGAAATCTAAGCATTGGAGAGTGTATTGAAAAGCAAAATAAATCATCAAAATAGAAACATGTACCTTGATGTTTACTGGGGTACAACAATACACAAATGCTCAGCAACTGATTTGAACTTATGTATAAAATCATGGAGACAATTTAACACTGGGACAGTGATGGTGAGAAGTTTAATGTATTAGTTTCCCCAATGTATTAGTTTCATTTCAGATTTCTGTTTCTCTATAGTTTGCTCTTTGGCTTTGGTCATCGCCTTCCGTACTTCACATTTCTATGATGTTGTATTTTCTGTTTTGATGATCATATTCGGAGTCCGCAATGACACCTGAACATGCAATGGGTCTGAATGGCAAACTGAATGTGCTCTGTTGGATCGTATGGGATCCTAACTAGAACACCAGTGTTTATGACTGGTTTAGCCAATGACTGAGGACCTCGTTGCACTCCTTCAAAAGCTGAAATGGCCACAGGGCTCACGTAGGTTGTCAGCTTCAATGAAGGAAACCGCCTGGGCCTTCGCTTTGGCCTTGTTAACTTGTTGACGCCTGTATTGTGTTGGAAGCACATGCATCGAAACACACCTCGTGTGCTTTCAAGAATTTAAGTAATTGTTGGGAAAAACCTGCTATTAAAAGAGTAATAATTACCCATAATCATAGTCTAAATGAAATAAAATTGCTTAAATAATCCTAAAAATAATCCTTTTAAGTTAAGATTATCTTAATTACTGATTGATTTTTCACATCTAATCAAAAGATCCATCCATCTCTGAGTGATACGTCCATCTGCAGCTCTCTTGCAGTATTTTACTTAAATTTTCGGTCTGGTTTCTTCACGGCATTTAACAAATCCAGCAGTCACTTGTCATATCCACTGCTGTGAAGAACAGTCAAGATGGTTCCTTCACTATTCATTGGCCTGAAAAGCCAAAACAACTGTTATCTATTTCCCCCAAAGCCATAAAACATCATTTTCGTCTCAAAGGTTTTGTTTTCTCTTGCTTCTGCCCTCGAATGATTTGTGCTGTTATGGCTCTAGTAAACAGACAAGAAGCCTATCAGTTCTGGTTTATTGGGATCTGTGGAAATCTCAAATTTTTTTTTTAAATTCCTTTTGGGCCATAAAAGGCAATTATTTCAAAGGGAAAGACCTTTTGTGTTGTAATTCGTAAAAAGGTCTTTGGGCTAACTGGCTACTTGGACCCTGAAATAGGCTGGGAAATTTTAAGAAGGACACACACCGGGGTGCGTTTCCCAAAAGCAATCTTTGGCCAACTATGATCACAATTTCCATTGAACTCTATTGGTAACAACGGAACTTGCTACCATAGTTGGCTTTGGGAAACGCACCCCTGTCCGGGTTTCTAAGGCTTCTGAGCCTTTTGTGTGTGTGTGTGTGTGTGTTTTTGATCTAAGCAGTAAAATGTTGTTTTGGGCCCCATTGACTTTCATTGAATGGACAAATCTTTCTTTACAGTGTCTTTGTGTGTGTGTGTGTGTGTGTGTGTGTGTGTGTGTGTGTGTGTGTGTGTGTGTGTGTGTGTGTGTGTGTGTATGTGTGTGTGTGTGTGTGTGTGTGTGTGTGTGTGTGTGTGTGTGTGTGTGTGTGTGTGTGTGTGTGTGTGTGTGTGTGTGTGTGTTTGTGTGTTTGTGTGTTTGTGTGTGTGTGTGTGTCATAAGTCATACATCTTTGGAACAGCATGTGGGTGAGGGAACTGAAAACACAATTTTTCTTCTTGGGTGAATCCCTTTAAGAGCGAATGAGATTTTTCAAGAAAGTGAGCCGTATTTTTAAAGAACGTTGATACTGAGGAGCACGAAAACCTCCATTTTATTTATCTCAAAGATTATGTTTATGCCTAACTCGGCTCCGAAGCGTTATCGGTCCCTAAAATACATAACTGAGCAGTTGTAAATGTTCTCCAATCATTAACTCAGTTCTTGGGCCAGGGTTCAGCTGCTCTTCATTCCCCTCACACATACCCAGTCAACAGAACCGGGTCTCCAAAGGCCAACGGAGGCCATGGCCAAGTGCACTTGCCTCTCTGCCAGTGCCACCACAACACAAGACCCGTTTGTGCCCAGGACTAAGAGCAGGGGCAGTACGCTTGCCAGGTCTGGAGATAAAGCGAAAGCTATTTTCCATTAATTACCTAGGTTTTAACTTTACAAAGCTGGCCTGATGGGGATGAAGGTGGAATTGTTGAGGTTAACACTGAGAGTAGTACAATCGTCTGCAGTGATTGGCCCGTCCGCTGCTACGCAAAAAGCTGCAGAAGCGTCAGCATTCATTGTACATTCCCCGAGAGTACATGACCTCACACGTTAGGGTATGAGTTACCTGAAAGGATGAAGATATTTGTACATGAAACCACATCTACAAGGAAATGCGCTTTGACAATACGTCGCTCATTGTTGACATAGCTGCCACTTCAGACAGCTGGACATTGCAGTGCTTTTGAAATGTTTATTGTCTAATATAATGACTGCAGTGAGAGGACAACAATAAAGGCAGTTGTGTATTTAATGTGGGGTCCAAATGTCTGTGATCACATTAATAGAATTAAAAAGAAATCTATAAGTAGTTTAGCATAATCTCGTATTGTTAAAGGGATACTCCACCCAAAAATGAAAATTCTGTCATCATTTACTCACCATCAAGTTGTTGCAAACCTGTATGAGTTTCTTTCTTCTGCTGAACACAAAGGAAGATATTTTGAAGAACGATTGGAACCAAACAGTTGTTTGGCACCATTGACTTCCATAGTAGAAAAAAAAAATACTATGGAAGTCAATGGTGCCAAAGTTCCAATCGTTCTTCAAAATATCTTCCTTTGTGTTCAGCAGAAGAAAGAAACTCGTACAGGTTTGCAACAACTTGAGGGTGAGTGAATGATGACAGAATTTTCATTTTTGGGTGGAGTATCCCTTTAACAAAACTACTTAGTTTGTATATATATAAATGTAGTCAAACCAAAAATTATTCAGACACCAGATATACATTTTTATATATTTTTTACTAGTGGGTGCAGGACACTATAGTTATTTTATGTAAGTGAGGATAACAAAATAAAGTAAACTGTGACATATTATATTCAAAAAATCTTTTTCAGACACTTTGACCTGACCATGTTTTGCTTACGTGTTTTTTTAAAAATTGTTAATGCAACCTTTTTACACCACAGACTGAACAATATTAATCATTGCTTGGTAATTGGTTGAGCTAAATTGGTATTATCTAATAGTGTACTTAAATTTAACAGCTGAAAACTGACAGCTATTCAACCTAATTCATTTGTGAGACAGTCTAACAGAAGGACGGCCAAAACCACTGAAATATCAACTGATTTGATAACTCTGAGTTCTTTTCATATTTATTATTACCATTTTCTAAACTATAGAGAATAAACTGTGATAATGTGAGAAATGTTGAAGGTGTCTGAATAAATTCGGGATATGTATATATATATATATTGTTAATCAAAATAATATTGATAAGATAAAACAAAATCTTGATGGTTACTAGCACCACATCGAAGTTTAGAGTTATTGAATTGAAACTTTCCTTGAAAATGATGGCGCTCGTTTTTGAAAACCATATGAAACCAACATGTCTACAAAGAGTAGTTACGTTTCAAAGACCTTGAAGCTTGAGTGCTGCTGTCCTTTAAGCAAAAAGATGACATAAATAATCATTCTAAAATGTATTCATTTTTTCATATATAAAATAATATAAATATAATTTATTATGAAACATGTGTATTAGAGAAATATGAAAAATAGAAGCATTCTCACTAGTGGCCTTTATTTTGGTTACACGCTGAACTGTATGAACCTGGAACGTTTTGTTCAAGACAGGTATTTACGTTGTTCAGGTTTTTGCATGTGCTTACCATTTCATCATCGCACATTTGACTTGTCAATTGACTGGTTTGGTAGATCTGGTTCTTTATTATCGCAAAAATGCCCTCATTTATCAGTCTCGGGGGTTTACAGCACCGTTGCACCTGAATGGCTCTCCAGGGTGCACTCGTTTTTTTAGAGTTCTATTTTTGTACATTGTTTGTGCCCATATCTCCTCTTACTATCACATGTCACTGTTTTGGTTTTGCTTTGTGTTCTATAGTCCTTCATGGCCGCCACACCTATGAGGTTTCTGTTTACTCTGTGCTGCATTAGAGCTCTATGCAGAGCTCTTGGCTTTGTGTTCACGGTTACAGCAGGGAATGATCTCCCACTGCTTGTGCCAGGCACTGTGATCACAAATCAACTTCATCTAGTGTGAAAGACAATATAGTATATTCTAGCCAAATCTCTTCTCTCAAAACAATCTTTTTGAACAGCTGCGGTGAAGTGAAAGGAGCAAAATGGCAGAACAGATATCTCAGTGTGATGCCAGCTAATCCAATTACCAAGACACACACAAAGATAACTACCTGGACTGCATGCTAACAAATAAATAATAATACAATAAAAATAGAAACATTCAATAAACTGAATTAAATTGAGGAAAACTTTTCCAATCCTTTACAAATAATAATAATAATAATTTGGGTTTCAGTTTCAGGTCTGGTCTTGTTATACAACTTAAAATAATTCAGTTATACCTAGTATATACCATGCTAATGAAGTAAATGAAGTCTTTTTTTTCTTCCAAAAATAGAGAAAGTCAATGGCTATTTTCTGGCATATAGAACAAGTCATGAATAAATTACTGTATTTTAATTTATTAGAGTGCTAAATTAAATAAACTACATAAAAAAAAATTTATCAAATCAATTTCTTGTCTTTTTTTGGGGGATGTCTGTACATCTGGTTATGCCAATGATTTACAGGTGAAACTCGAAAAATTTGAATATCGTGCAAAAGTTCATTTAATTCAGTAATTCAACTTAAAAGGTGAAACTAATATATTATATGGACTCATTACATGCAAAGTGAGATATTTCAAGCCTTTATTTGTTATAATTTTGATGATTATGGCTTACAGCTATGAAAACCTTTTCACAATATTCTAATTTTGAATTTGGGGCTTTCATAAGCTGTAAGCCATAATCATCAAAATTATAACAAATAAAGGCTTGAAATATCTCACTTTGCATGTAATGAGTCTATATAATATATTAGTTTCACCTTTTAAGTTGAATTACTGAAACAAATGAACTTTTGCACGATATTTTAATTTTTCAAGTTTCACCTGTATATTAAAACGGATTTATATTAAAACGGACTTCCATTTTTACAAATTTAGTTTATTGCATATTCAACATATTCAATTGAAGCGTAAAACTTTTATTGATATTATACAAATATTATAACTATATAATATTATCACTATTATTATGGGCAAATATTTTGATGTAAAAGAGTTTTATAGGTATACTCTTAAAAATAAAGGTTCCAAAAGGGGGTTTTCGCAGTGATCCCACAGAAGAATAATTTTTGGGTTCCCTAAAGAACCTTTCAGTGAGCAGTTCTCAAAATAACCTTTTTTTTTCTTAGTGTGAAGAACATTTTAATAATATAAGGAACCTTTTTCCACTGTAAAAAAACAACAAACTTTTGTGCAATGGAAAGATTCCATGAATGTTAAAAGTTCTTCATGGAACCACCGATGCCAATAAAGTAGCCTAGCTTTATTTCTAATAGTGTACTGTATCCCAATCATCTTCTATTCATTTCAGACACGGATGGAGATGGATAAATATTTGCCCCAGAGTGGCCCGGTGCTTACCCTAAACATGATGGATACGAAGTACCGACGGGAAAGTGCCTCAGTGGTGGATGAGTATTTTGCAGATGAGAAGCCTGCCCCTTACAGTCTTAACATCAACGTTATCCTGCCCAATACCACACATCTTCGCACTGGCCTTTACCGCCCAAACAAACCTCCGGTGCACCAGATCAAAACAGAGCCTGGCGTGGACGAACCTTGCGGCATTCAGGCGCTCCCCGAATTCACCTCCGTCTTCAGTGTGCCCCAGACGGTCAACAGCCTCTTCATCAAACCCGACATGTCTGTCGCAGACGAGCTCCACATCGGCCCTCAGCAGCCGTCAGTCTACCAGATGCCCGTCAGCAGCAGCGACCTCACCACAATGACCTTCTCCCAGAGTCAATCCATGAACGGGATCGGCTCGTCCGGCAGGACCATGCTCAACCTGAACACTGTGGCCTTGACAGCGCAATCTGGAGAATTTGTAATGCCCGAGCCGTTCTTCACTTCACCCCAGCCACACAGTTTGCCTCCATCGCCTCCCAACTCCCAGCCCAGCAGTCCGGAGAACCAGGCAGATCTCATTACCTCCCCTCCCCCACCGTACCAGGGTAGAATGGGAATGAAGGTTGGACAGATGACCCCTCACTCCATGCTAATGGCCCACGGTCAGGGCATCCTCACGGGGCCCAGATACAACCGACGGAACAACCCCGAGCTGGAGAAGAGAAGAATTCACCATTGTGACTTCCCAGGTTAGTGTGCCTTTCCAGTAAATAGTTTGGATTACATGATGTGCCATGCCTTCCTGAAGATGAGCAGAGATTATCAGGGACTTTTGTGAACTAACATTTGGGCAATTTTCTCTGTACCAGGATGCACTAAAGTTTACACAAAGAGCTCTCACTTGAAAGCACACCAAAGGACTCATACAGGTAAGAAACCAAACACAGACACCCCAAAAATGAAATTGATGCAATTCTTTATTCACCCACATGTCGTTTCAATGGCATATGATTTTCTTTTAACTCCGTGGAACACAGAGAAAGGAGATATTGAAGAACGTTTCCATCTCATTACAGTTTATGGAGACTGAGGATTTTCAAGCTTCATAAACGGTGCAAAAGCAATTTAAAAGTATCCCACAAGTATTCTGAAGTCATACAATTGCTTTGTGTGAGGAACAAACAAAATGTAAGTCGTAATCTTGACATCCGTCCCTTGTCAATTTTCCTCAGTCGGAGTGAATCCAATCTATGACTCCGAAAGTTTGGTTTATCTGAACCTTAAACATTTCAATCCCATTCACATATTACATGTGCATTACTTGTATTCTGAACAAAACATCAGTCAAAAAGTGTCCAGTCAGTGCGCTCAGAACCTGAGCTACTGCAAGCATAATTGTCATTTTTGCCTTTGTCTCCTCTACTGACAAGTTCATGAAAATACAGACACAAATATGCAAGCATACGCATCACGGTGCTTAGCATGTGCACAAGATGTTTTTGAATCTAATTGAGAAAAAGTTGGATTTAAAGGTGCAGTAAGCGATTTCTGAGACACTGTTGAAAGTGGATCAGCCCGAGTACCACAACAAACTTGTAGCCAGTCAGCAGAAGGGGGCGTGTCCACTCATGATGGGGAGAGGAGAGAGAGTCAGGCAATCAGCAGGAGGCGGCGTGTCCACTCATGAGAGATATTGAGCAAGAGGTAGATTTGAAGAAAGACTGTTGAAAGAGAGATGGCTGAGAGACATTACAAAAGAGGAAAGCAGAGGAATATCGCTGGAAAAAGACGAGTTCTGATCAGGCAAGAGCTTTAGGACCCGCGTAAATAATAGAAAAGCTTCCCAGCGCTGGAGAGACCTCAGCGGGAAGGCATGAAAACGGACGCCGAGGTGTTGTTTCTGCTCCATATGTGAGTAGCATTGGTTTTGAGTGTGTGCTACTTGTGTACTGTTAATTTTTCGTTCTTTCTTGTCGTTCGTTCATCTTTTTCGCAAAGCTTTATTTTGCTTTGCTTTTGCTATGATGAAGAGACATAAACTCGCGCATTGTGAGTTTTATGCATTTTGGGGGCGGAGCAATGAAGGGAGGGGGAGTGTTTGTTTGGATTGATTTCATATATCAACAGAGTTCAACAATGCTTCTTAGAAATTGCTTACTACACCTTTAAGCATTTAAATGCTTATATTTTCCCCATTGATCAGATTTTTTCAGATCTACACCATCTCTTTCAATCGAATCAAGCTCGATCAGATCGATTGAGGGGCTTACATGAAGGCTTTTCAGTCCAGTTGAGCCATCGATCTGATAATAAACAGATTATTTGGATCCATGTTAACTTAGATGCAGTTGCATTGGTTAAAAGCTCACTGGAAGGGAAGATTACCAGTGAATAGTGCCTTACATTTGGTCTGTTTCTCACACAAAGCAGTCGTATTGACTTCAGAAGACTTGGAATATTACTAGTGATTCATAGTTCTTTTGAATCACCTTTTTGATACTTTTATTAGTTGTAACGGCATGTTAAAGAACGGCAGATCCATTATTCAAAACTTCTTATTCTTGTGTTCCACAGAAGAAAGAAAGTCATACAGGTTTGGAATAACATGAGGGCGGTTAACTATTCTTCTAAAGTTAGAAGCAGTTGTTACTGCTTGACCAGATGCAATGTACCATCAACACAAAAGCAACAAATACAGCAACAGCTTGCAGAGAAGATGACAGCCTAAGGACAAGCGATGTAGAAAGACAGAGAACAGGGTGGAGGGAGAGATTAATTGACTCTCTTTTCATGCTTTTATACACATTGTGTCTGCATGCCTGTACAAGCCCTGCATGCTTTCCCGAGGGTGGAATAGGCAAGTGGCGGAGGAAAAACCTGTTCCTCCTGCTTTTTCTGTCTGTGTTCGGGGGGGGGGGGGGGGGGGGGGGGGGGGGGGGTGAGTTGCCGGGAGGAAAGAACTTGGCAGTTTCAGTGTGTTCAACTCTGTGTAAGATGAAACCCACTGCAATCCCAGCACACTTTAGAATTAAACCGAAATCTGCCCTCCCAACATCAATGGGTGCAATTTTTTTAAGCTGATAAAAGCACCTTTTCCGCCTAGTTACCTCTTTTTTTTTTTTTTTAACCATTTCGGGGTGGTCACCGTGAATGCAGAGGGATTCCCTGTAGCCTGAGGTATCATTATTGTTGTACTCTGACTCACTGGTGCCCTAGAGGTATCTTCGTAACTTTGTTTAAGCTTATACGAATGCTCATGTGGTACGTTAGGAAATCGAATAGGTGTTGGCGCAGTGCAACAAGTATTAGCATGGATGAAACTAAAGCACTTAGCCATTTGAGATTGTGCCTTACTACGTATTTTAGTACAGTTAAGGGTCAATCCTTGGCATGATTCAAATGAGTGCCTAAAACTACCTTAATTGTGGTAAAAACATGGTTCTTGTGTGGTTTATTGCATTATTTTGGCGAACAAAATCATTGAATATGTCGCATCTCACTGCTTTTCTTCTTAGACCATGAACAACAATTAAATATTTAAAAGTGTGTTTTGAGATTTTTAATTTCTAAATTTTTGAATAGGTTTTTTTTTTTCAATAGGCCTATTAATTCCACAAAATTTAAAAACAGCCTTGAGTGGCTTTTTGCATTATAATAAAAGACACCAGTGTTTAATAAATAGCTAAATGTATTCTAATAATTTGGCCTGTCAAAAAAAAAAAAAAAAAAAAAAAAAAAGATTTAAAAAATATAAAATAATTACATGATTAATAATCACAGTAAATAAATTGCTTTTATTCGCGCATGTAAACATTTGCTGAGAAAAGTCCCTAAATGAAGGTCATTTAAGAGAAAAATGCATTTTGGGATTTTTTTTTATATATTTTTTTTTTATAGGGTTCTTTTTTAAAACAATTAATTCCACTAAACCAACACATTAATTTCACAGCCCACATAATACAAATCTAAATAAATGATCTGGCAGAAGAAAAGTTGAATTCAAATAGCCTGTAGTCTGTAAACGGTTGCCCAGCACATGAGTTGGAGTTTTAATATAGAATGTAAAGTAATATAGAACACAGCTTTTGAAGTCATAACCATGTAAATAGTATTTTCACATTATTTTTAAATGGAGTATTGCATTAACCTTTTATGAACCTTTTAAAAGCACCGCTCACCGGACATTTCATTTTCAAACTACCGTGATACAACAACCAACATAATAAAATATTGCTAGATTCACTTTCATCAGTTTTGGATAAAACCGAACGTTATGCAGGAAGCGACATAATATCATTTTGAGGAAATGTCGTCTGGGTTATTTAACCCTCTGTCCATCAGCATGGTATGTTTCTGTTGTTCACGTCAGGTCATCATTCCTCAGGTGGACATGGTGTGGAGTTGTATTTCAAAAGATGTCGGGGGTTGGGAAAGATCCCGCCGCACTGAAAGCTGTCAAACAACAGTTAAGAGCTCTAGAACGTTCTGTGCTGACAGATGAAAGTGAAAACAGCTCTATAACACTGGTAATTTTAATGTCTTCAGGAATGATGTGTTCTTTTCATAAGATCAAATAGGCTATGCACTGTAAACCCTGATAAGTTGAGACTACTCAAATGATTTGAGGAAAGTGATTGCGTTTAAGTTTAATTGAGTAATGGGAAAATTGAAAACTCAAATAATTGAGTTGACCGAATGTGGTCTTCTCATTGAATTAACTTAGATGTTTAAGATAACTTAAAAGGCAAATGGACTAAAGTCAAACTTGCCAGTTTATATTTTGTTGTTTACTTATTATTAAATAAATTATAAATCATTAAACAAAGTTTTGTTTTTCACATCAACAGCTTTATTAGGTTTACATTACATATCTTAACTTCTATAATGCATACTGACTGAACATCGTATGTTAACATTTAATCAGTAAAAAATACAATTACAATACTTTGCAGTAAATTAAATCAATTGATTAAAAATGTCTTTAGAATCGGTCATTTAAAAGTGAAATCGACCAGATCAGAACAATTAAAATCACACTGTAATGAACAACAACAGACATATTTGTCATCTACTTTAACTTATCTTTAACTTAACTTATCTTTCACCCTTTGTAATAGTTGTGTGCGAGTCCCTCAGTTGTCCTCGGTGTGAATAGATAATAACACGCTTCTTCCTTGAGTGCTGTTTTTGAAGCCTCTGAGGACAGTTGAGAAGAAAGTGTCTGCTGATTTGTCAAAGGAGAATACGTCAACAACTCAAGCACACTAGCTAGGCTAACATTAATTAATAAATGTGAATATTTAACCACTGACTAATTTCTTAGAAATGTATGTAGCAGTTGCTAAGTAACGTGCCAGTTAGCAGTAACCAAACTAGCTAAGATAGCTAATTTTACAACATAACCGCACTCAATTTAAATCAACAACACTTTTGGTAAATACTCTATTTTAGGTTTTATGAATTTGCACTTACCTTCGTCTGATATAAATGTCTGAAAATACAGGACGCTGTCGGCGCATGCAGTAACTGAAGGCAGTGGGCTAGCAAATACGGTTCAGAAAAAATATGACATTGAAAAACGTTACTGTTATTTACAATGATTTTTTAAATTAACACTTACCTTCGTCTGATGTAAATCTCACAGAAAATACCGGACGGTGTCAGCGCGTAAGATTTGAATGGAGCAGGAGGGGGAATAAACGGCTCGAAAACAACGTCGGGCTAGAAAATACAGTTTAAAAACTGTTACAACATTGAACAAATTGTGATGTTATGTTCTGGCAAACATTAAGCGTAGCGTCAGTTCTGGCAGGCCACGTTAGTCAAGCTCGCATCAGCTGATCCACGTCTACCTATAGGAATACAACGCCTATCACTGTATACATATAACCTCCTTCAGTATTATGAGCAGCTATCGCGTGATTCGCGT